GTAAGATCCTCCTTTCTCCACAGAAGAATGCTGGAGCTCACACAGAGTGATCATCGAGTTATTGATCACCTCCCTAACTAAGGCCCTTCTCCCCCGATCATTCAGCCTAGATGGCCAACCAGCTCTAGGAAGAGTCCTGGTTGTTCCAAACATCTTCCACTTACGGATGATGGAGGCCACTGTGCTAATTGGAAATTTCAGAGCAGCAGAAATTATTCTGTAATCTTCCCCAGCCTTGTGCCTTGAGACATTCCTGTCTCGGAGGTCCACAGACAATTCCGTTGCCTTTTCAAATCATGTACAATCAACTGAATTGACCACAGGTAAACTCCAATTAAGCACTGAAACATCTCAAGACTGATCAGTGGAAACTGCTCAATTTAGAGATTCAAGTCAAAGGCTGTAAAAACATGTGATTTTTCAGGGTTTTTTATTTTTAGTAAATCTGCAACAGTTTCAAAAAATCTTTTTTTCACATTGTCATTATGGAGTATTGTGTGAAGAATGTTGGGGAAATAAATGAATTGAATGCATTTTGGAATAAGGCTGGACCAAAAAATGTGGAAAAAAGTAAAGCGCAATGAATTCTTTCTGGATGCACTATATACAATTAATCATTGTTAGTCATAAAGATTATGACAAACAGCAATAGTCTTGATACTCATCACACTCATTAATAAAAGCTTTACTGCAAAAAGATCATAGCTAGTTCTTCATCACATATGTCATCAGCATAATATAAAACAGCAAAAGCAGTAGTTTCAAAACTTTTTCCCCCAGACTCATCCTATGAAACTTTGAACTGCAGTACCTAAAGTGGGGGTTATGGCACCAGGTTAAACGTTCTGACACCTTTACGGCACTTACATACATTAAAAATAAAGGCCATGACTGAACATGGAGAAAGGTCTCGGAGTGACAACCTCCAAAATTAAACAAAGAATATACTCAGGCCTATTGGCGTGTGTGCACTGTTGCATGCAAGGTTTGTATATCTGAGTCACTGGCATTGTTATTTAAGGGGTTAAAACGTTTGGGAACCCCTGCTAAAAACCTCATTGGTAGTGACATCAATGGTCATTAAGTGAACTGAAACTTGTTGCAAATGCGTGAATTACAGGTACACAATCTGTGATACTACAAATTCCCTGTCAAGGACAATAAAGTTTATTACTACTACTATTAAAGAGACTGAACATGCCTATATATATATATATATATATATATATATATATATATATATATATATATATATATATATATATATATATATATATATATATAACACTACTAAAAAAAAAACATTTGTATAAGAAGAAGTAAAAATAAGTTAGGAATATCTTTGGAGCGACGACCTTTTAACAAACATCCAGATTATAAATCTATTAATAAATGCTGTGAGCTAATGCAGTTGGTGTTAGTGTAACAAAACTGTATTACAATGTGTTACTGTGTTGATTTAAAACACTTTATTTAAAATTAATTAAGTAATTTTGGACTGAATATATATCTGAATCTGGTCTGTCTGATCTGATCTATTTGAGCAGTTTTTTTCACCTTTTCAGAAAGACTAAAAACACACTCGCAAAAAAAAAAAAAAAAAAAAAAATTTTAATGGTAATTTCATGTGGAAAATGGAAAAAAGACTGAAAAAACATGAATTTGAGCCAAACACAGAATGACACAAACCACCAAAGCACTCTCTCTCACGCGCACACACACACATGCACTAAAACCTCAAGACATTACAGAGACCACAAAATGCATCATCGTGCACATCGATTGGACATAGTAATTACAGAGAGATGCTTAATGGCGAGTAAGTGACCATGGTAACCAAGCAGCACTTTTCTGCAAACTTCAAACCCTTTTCCACACACCTGCCCAGACTCAAGAGGGCTTTTAACACAGGGAGGGGCACCATTTTGCTCACGCTCCCTTACACACATGCACACACACGGACGCAAATATGAACACAAGCAGAGCTGAAAACCTCAAAACACTTGATGTGTCCCAATTCCCAAAATATGTTTCCTAAATAGATTTTGAAAAGAAAAATAATTACGGTGTCCCAAATTGTAATAAATCTAAAAAATCCAAATGAGAAGGTTACCTGAGTGGTCTACCATTACCTGTACACATTTCAAGAGCAGATTCTTGCAAACAAATGATTCACTGTAAACATTGAGAATGCAAAACTGATGGTTAGATGTAGATGATCAGCTATATAAGTTGTAATGATGAGTAATTTTTACTGTTAATATCAATTAATATGTAACATTAATATATGTAACATTAATATTAATATTACATTAATTATACAATGGAGGAAAGTAAATGTTGTAAATATCATGTTATTCATATTATACTGAGAATAACTAACTGCCAGTTGTGCATGTTGTGTTGAGAAATCTCTTTAGGTGTTTGCATAATACTGCATTCACACCGGACGTGGATGAAGCGTCAAGTGCGAGTGAAAAAAAAGTCTGCTGACACAACACAGGCTAAAACTCATGATACGAGACCATTCATGCTCATAGGACATGTGCATATATTGCCAACTTCCGTAATTGCAGTCTACCAGTTGTGTATGGTCATATGAGAAAGGTTTGACGAATCAGGGAATGATTCACAGCACCTCTGTTTTTGAAAGTTTGCATTTTGGTCTGTCTAAATTAAATACAACACCAATATTTACAAACTTCTTTAGCATTTTGAAAGCGCTCAGTTTTCACAAGTCAAAGAGTAGTTTGGAGCCCAGGCATAACGGTCACAAAACATCAAACTCAAAGTCAAAGTCAACTTTATTGTTCATGTACAGGACATACAGAAAATCAGAATTGTGTTACTCTCAGACCCTAGGTGCCTAACATATGATACTAATCCAAAAAGATTTTTTAAAAGAAATTACAATAAATACAGCTACATATATAATATAATCCACAATATATATAAAAAAATGTAAACAATGCAATTACAATTAAGGCCACATATGTGTTTAAAAAAAAAAAAAATACAATGTAAACAGCACCTAAGACGCGTTTGGTCATTAACTTTTAAATGCATGCTAGATAATATGCTACTTCATCCCTAAAAAAAAGGAAAGATTTTTTTTTTTTAATAAAAGTGTGGAGGAAGAAATGTTGATTGACATGGCAGCTTAAATGGTGACATAGTATGCTCTTATTATACTAATTCTTATCTCCAATTATTCTAATATCCAACTTTTTACTGACAAATGATATTGTATTACACACATTTAAAATATAAAATATGGCTCTCATTTGGATCATGTGTATTAGCTTGGAATCTAATGTTAATACACCAAATATGCTTCCAAAAACAGATAAAATAGGCTTTAATCATAACTTTTGCCCAACCTAAAATGTAAACTGTGTATCAAATTTCTCTTTTGTAGATATTGTATGATGCATATGAGTTGAACCAACACGATTTTTTTTTTTTGTTGTTATTCAACCATAAGTGGAAGAGGTTTGGAACCACGTAATTGTTTTATGTTCAATACACTTAAATTAGTTAAATTCATTTAGATAACTTAGTCGAAATATGGTGGGACAACATGAAGGAATTGTGTGGAACCCAGCATTTTTACATTTTACTATCCTTTTAAACCCTGTGAGCACAATAGTATGGGACACAACTGTGCTGGCAAATTATACTGAATCGAAGCAAAAAATAAATAAATCAGCGAGATCATGTCCAGGATGGAAGATGAATGTATTGTGAGAGGACGTGGTCATGTCAGTGGTCAGTATAATGGGAGCTGTCTCTCCACACTTGGATGGATCTCTTGGACTCCAGCTCAAACCTGATCTGGATTCAGTCACACAGCAAAGCGGCCAGATTTAAATGGAGCTGCTCACAGGCTGGAGGCCAGACCTGCAGACTACATCTCTGAATCTCCAGACAAGGCCAGCGGGCTTCTGTTTGTTTCTCTTCCTCTCCGGCTTCCAAATTACAACAGTTCACACAAATTTAACAAGCAAATGAGTTTTTCTTCTTCTCTCCAACATTCCCCCTCATCCTTTGCTCTTGCTGACATAGCATCAATAGTTTGTGTGTGTTTTTAACTCACACAGATGCTCATTGGGCTAAAATGGGAGTTTATTCGTGGTGAAATCCCACTGTGGCCCGCCTTCCTTCCTAATGACCAGCATATGCCATATTTTGCCTCGACCCCATACGAATTTTAAAATATATATATATTTTGGGGGAAAAACAGTTTTAAATTATTTAATTGCCTTGACACTTTGACAAAAATAAATAAATAATTAAATAAATAAATAATTAAATAAATAAATGAATAAATAAATAAATAATCATGAATTTAACTTTACCATGAACCAAAAAAGTGGCGCATTAGGTAGTTCTGTTGCCTCACAGCAAGAAGATCGCTGGTTCGAGCCTCGGCTGAGTCAGTTGGCATTTTCTTTACATGTTCTCCCTGCGTACGCGTGGGTTTCCTCTGGGTGCTCCGGTTTGCATTTGCATAAGATAAATTAAAATCAAATGAATGAATGAATGAATGAATGAATGAATGAATGAATAATCATGGATTTATTTTATAGTCAAATGACAAAGTATTTTGAGTAAAAATTTGCATAGCATAAATTAAATTCAAATAAACAAATGAATGAATGAATGAATGAATGAATGAATGAATGAATGAATGAATGAATGAGTTCTTATGGACTTGTTGTATAATAAACTGAATTTTTGGAGTAGAAATTTGCATAGCATTAATTACATTCAAATAAATAAATAAGTAAATAAATAAATACAATCTCACGGATTTATTGTGTAATCAACCGACAAAGTATTTTGAGTAAAACTGTGCATAGCATAAAATAAATTTAGATAAATAAATGAATGAATTGAAGAATAAACAATCAAAAAAATAAATGCATTATCATGGATTTATTGTATAATCAACCAATTTGTCGATTATTCTCACGCAATCATGTGATACTGTTTTGCAGGTCAGAATTCACAAAGCTTGAACAATCCAACGCAGCGAACTGCAAAACTTGTCGCAGGAGCTTGCATTTCTGGCCTGATGCATTCATAAATGGAAGTCTGTGGGGAGAAAAGTGCAGTGTGACCGCAGCTTGAATGAATGAATGAATAAATACATTCTCATGGACTTATTGTATAATCAACTGTATTTTGAGTAAAAATGTGCATAGCATAAATAAAATTTAAATGAATGAATGAATGAATAAATAAATAAATACATTCTCATAGACTTAATGTATTAATCAACAAAATATTTTGAGTAAAAATAAGCATAACAAATTAAATTCAAATGAATGAATGACTGAATGAAGAAATCAATGTATGAATAAATGAATGAATGAATGAATGAATGAATAAATGAATGGATGAATGAATGAATTAATTAATATAGACTTATTGTATAATCAACTGACAAAACATTTTAAATAACAATGAGCATAAAAATTAAATTTAAATGAATGAATGAACAAACAAATAAATAAATAAATAAATAAATAAATAAATAAATAAATAAATAAATAAATAAATAAATAAATAAATAAATAAATTCTCATGGACTTATTGTATAATCAAATGACCATGTATATGGAGTAAAAATGTGCATAACAGAAATTAAATTCTAATAAATGAATAAATAAATAAATAAATAAATAAATAAATAAATAAATAAATAAATAAATAAATAAATAAATAAATAAATAAATTCTCATGGACTTATTGTATAATTAACCAGCAAGGTATTTAGAGTAAAAATGTGCATAACAGAAATTTAATTAAAATAAAGAAATTCTAATGGATTTATTGTATATAATCAACCAATAGAGTATTTTGAGTATGAACGAGTATAGCATAAATTGTATTTGCATATCTCATTAAATAAACAAATAAAATCAATTTGCTTCAAGTACATGAGTTAAAATCAACAGACAGTAAATGCTCAAAGTAATTTTGCATGTCATTTTACCAAAACAGTTAATATTCCATCACTTACAGTAAAACATCTCAGTGTTTTCCAAAATACAAAATCATTGCACAGCCATTGTGGTGAGTCAATAATGTCAGTAAGCTCTGAATTCTACATCTGGTCCCAAAATTATAACTATATTTATAATCATTAAAATAAAAACATAAAAGTATCAGTGTTTGAAGAACCAGAGTATGTTCTGCCTGATGAAAGCAAATGAGTTTCTCCCCTTCCCTCCAACATTTCCCCTCATCCATTGCTCTTGCTGACATAGCAACACGAGTGTTTTGTGTGTTTTTTACTCACAAACCCTCATCCAGCTAAAATAGGGGTCTATTAGTGGTGAAATCCCACCGCGGCCCACCCTCCTTCCTAATGACCAGCATATATGCCACATCCTGCAACTACGAAGCATCCAGGAAAACAGATAAACAGCATTCATATAGGTGTGTGTGTGTGTGTGTGTGTGTGTGTGTGTGTGTGTGTGTGTGTGTGTGTGTGTGTGTGTGTGTGTGTGTGTGTGTGTTTGCGTCAGATTCGGAGAGTAAACACAAGTGGTCTAATGTGTAATCGAACATTGTTATCCTTAATGGAGAACAGTCATTTGCTAACGTTAATTACTAACATTAGTCTCAATCATGACCAATGTGTGGATATATGTGCTATAATGACTGGTGTTAATGTGCATGTGTTAATGGTCAGCGAGTCCAGGTCGCCAGGTCGTGCCAGTCTCAGGAGGAGCCTCATATTGGCTCGGTTAATGCTAGCCAGACCTCCTACGACTGGCACTAACTTTGAATGCGGTTTCATTGGATTTCATCAGAAATGAGCAAGATTTGCAGCATTATAGAGAAGAGTAGCACATGCGGGATTTTGCTCACCCTGCTTAGTTTCAAATGGAGAGGCAGGAACAAGATTTTTTTTTTTTTTTTTTGCTTTTAAAGGCAATTTCAGTAAATGTCACACATTCATTCTGTCTGTCTGTCTCTCTCTCTCTCTCTTACTCTCTCTCTCTCTCTCTCTCTCTCTCTCACACACACACACACACACACACACACACAAAGAAAAAGTAATGGACTTCAACTTGTCATCTTTTCACTCAGTGAAAAAAATGCTAAGCTCACAATGATGACATTTTTTGGACAACATGTGTTTGTGAGAGAGAATTTAGGCCTCTGCACTGCACCTCACTTTGAATTCCAGTCAGTAATAAATGTACTCGTGTGGAAACTGTGATGATATTCGATAAATATTCTACCATTGTGAGTGAACATAATCTGACATGAGAAGATTTTTTTTGTAAAGAAAAATAAATAAATAAATAAATTGAATTCCCTGAATTCACTGTGACAGTTGACAGTGTCAATTAAATAAATATGCATCTTAGTGCTTTTTTGTTATTAATTATGAATATCACAGCTGAATATTACATTTTGTGTTGTTAAATTCATGATTATTGCAGTATTTTAGTGTTTTGTGTGTGTGTGTGTGTGTGTGTGTGTGTGTGTGTTATCGCGTTTAAAGTGGTGTTTATTAACTTTTTGTTAACTATTATTTTAACACATACAGTTAGAATCATTAAAAGTCTGAAATATTAGCCCCACTTTGATTTTTTAAAAATATTTCCCAAATGATGTTTAACAGAGCAAGGACATTTTCACAGTATGTTTGATAATATTTTTTTCTTCTGGAGTCTTATTTATTTTATTTAAATTTTTTTATGAACCATTTTAAGGTCAAAATTAATAGCCACTTTAAGCAATTTTTTCCCTGACTGTCTTCAGAACAAATCATCATTATACAATAACTTGCCTAATTACCCTAACCTGCCTAGTTAACCTAATTAACCTAGTTAAAGGGCCATGAAACCCCCTCGTTTCAGCAGGGTGTTTTCACACCTCTACTTTGGAAAAAGTCAGAAAAGTGGGCGTGCTCTGTTTAGGGGGGAGTGTCGGAGGAAGAAAAGTGGGATGGTATGGGAGTGTCTATTTGGGCACGCGCGAGTTTCAGAGTCAAAATACACACACACACACACACACACACACACAGTAGAAAGTGATGGTGTTTAACCTACATGGACATCTGTAGTCAAATTATTTGCCAAATTATTAAATGTTGGACTTTAACTGCAGTTTGGCTCTTTCATTCAGGGAATTCATTCATGCCCCTCGCGACAAACGAGATATTTGATTCGAGGAACTGCTCTAAGCGTGTATTTTTCATGCAATGTTTGATACCGCACGGCGAATGAGAGAAAGAAAACCTCCGCATTTCCCGGAAACTTAGATGCACACGGCAGGTAGTGTCAGAAAGCTGCGTGTGTTATTCCGGTCACTAAATGCGGTGAAAACCCTACACGAGGTTAAAGTTTGGTTGTGGTGTTAACATGTTTACACTCGGTTACCAAATCTGTAGAGACAGGACAATCACCAGCAACTAGAGCCGCGTCTTTATTTAGAGGAGACAACAAGCGAATCCGGATCTCAGCGTTTGCAGATGAGAACAGCTCTCAGGTAAACAATGTTCCTCCTTAGACACGTAAGTTATTGTTGTTGAGCGTCGCGTACACTGTTAATCCACACGTGAGTCTGAGCTCTCACAGAGAGAAAATGAAAACGAAATTTGACTGCAGCAAACTATAAAAGCAACACTTCACGCTTGTTTTGCCAATACAACATGGTGTGTCTGTCGTCTAAACACTGTGACAGTAATGAATATTAATGAAGTTGCACAATAGAGCGCGCTGATTGGTTTGAACCAAGCTTTACTCATGCATTAATGCATCACACTGTAAGACGTAAAAAGGCACACTCTGGCACAGACACCCAGTCTGCACGCTGGAATACAACGCTATTATGTCATGACCGTGACGCAGCTTCAAAAATTCGTTTTAAACCAGAAGTACGAATTTGCTTGAAATAACGCAAAAACAACCAATTTACACTTTTTAGTGAAATATGTGTGTCCTAATAGTGTTTTTAGCAGTGTGGGACACATATACGACTGTCAACAGCTCAAAAAATGTGTTTTGGTGTTTCGTGACCCTTTAAGCCTTTTAATGTCACTTTAAACTGTATAAACATATCTTGAAAAATATCTAGTCAAATATTATTTACTGTCATCATGGCAAAGATAAAATAAAACAGTTATTAGAAATTAGTAAATAAAACTATTATGTTTACAAATGTGCTGAAAAAAATCTCTCCTTTAAACAGAATTTGAGGGGAAAAAAATTGGAGGCTAATAATTCTGACTTCAACTGTACATTATTGGTGGATTGATGGAGTGATTGATTTTAAATAATACACCTGATATTTTATATGAACAGGTTTTCTCTGTTTGATGGTGAACATGTATTTTTAGACATGTTGACTTTTACATTAACAGCATATCAACGAAAAAAAAAAGTTTGACGAGCATGCTGCTGTAAAAAAAAATTATGTCAGAATTGTCTTTCTTTGTTGAGCTATTGGTTTAATTTAGCCACAACATCCTGAATTCAACACAAGACACACCCAGACCCACATCACGACTTCATTTATAATAAAAGCTATCAATCTTTTAACAGTTGCAACATATTCTGGTGATGAAAGGAGCAGTAAGCATTTGAATGTGTATTCACTCCCTTCCTGAGAAATCTGATTAACTAATTATAGCTAAATGCAGCTCCAAATGAAGGTTTGCGAGGGACATGTTCATACAATTTGGGCCATTTCAGTGATAAGAGTACATAAACAGACGTTTGCTCACTAGAGTTCCCCTCATCCTGCTTCTTCTACAAAACACCTAATTTATTTAAATCTTTATGGTATAAATTTTCAATTTCAGACAGCAAGTCAATTCATCTGGAAAAAAAAAATACTAATAAAAATACAAAAAAAAATTTATTGAAACAACTGATGTTTATGTCATTTGGTGATAATTAATGATACTGTATCATATCTGGTACTAAACCACATAATAATGGAAGTGAATTCCAAAAAGATCTATTTTATAACTTGATATTATTTAGTAGTTGTGGAAATCTGTGAATTGTTAAAGAAAGTGTTTTAAATAATATTTATTTAAAAAATGAGAGTAACATTATCACACTATTTACATGTGTGTTTTAAAATGCAAGTATAATGTTCTTTTTGTGATTATTTTATGCATTTTAGAATGATAACTATATACATATAAATAATTTTGTGTCTGTGTGAGTGTGTACCTTCTAATCTATCACATTGCTC